AAAAAAAAAAAAAAAAAAAAAAAAAAAAAAAACCATGTATAAAAGTAGCACAGGACCTCCCTTTTTACAAACAAGCTGAACTGGTTGAAGTTTTCAATCCCAACATAAACTGGGCAGAATTCAATCAGTCTTTTGAAAAAAATGTCTGACAGACTTCTGTTTTGCGACTTGAAAACTAACCAATCAGGGCTCAGCTCTATCAACCAATCAGAAGTTGGCTATGCTGACCAATCAGAACTAAGCAAGTTTCAATCCTTCCTTTGCATAAACAGACTTGACTGTAAACCTAAGCACTATAAAACCTGCACACTCCCTTTGTTCTGCCAGTTTGCAAACTGTTCACTGGAATAGTCTCTTTCCTCCAAATTCCTTTGCAGAAAACTTTTTTTTTTTTTTTTTGCACGGAGTTTCGCTCGTTACCCAGGCTGGAGTGCAATGGTGCGATCTCGGCTCACCGCAACCTCCACCTCCTGGGTTCAGGCAATTCTCCTGCCTCAGCTTCCTGAGTAGCTGGGATTACAGGCGCGCGACCACCATGCCCAGCTAATGTTTTGTATTTTTAGTAGAGACGGGGTTTCACCGTGTTGACGAGGATGGTCTCGATCTCTTGACCTCGTGATCCACCCGCCTCGGCCTCCCAGAGTGCTGGGATTACAGGCTTGAGCCACCGCGCCCGGCCCACCCAAGGGTTTTAATGAGAGGAAGTGATGCAATCAGAGTGGTAACAACGTCCTGAATGGTGCTTTAGAAAGATAGCTTTGTGGGTATAAAGCAGAACACTTTTGAGTGAAAATCGGGGAAATGGGGGGGGGAGGGTAGGAAGGTTGGGGAGGGATAACATGCAGAGACATGCCAGATATAGGTGATGGGGGGATGGAGGCAGCAAACCACATTGCCAGGTATGTATCTATGCAACAATTCTGCATGTTTTGCACATGTACCCCAGAACCTAAAGTGCAATAAAATATAGATATTAAAAAAAAAAAAAAAGAAAAGAAAGAAAAGCAGGGAAATCAGTTAGGTCCTTGGCAATAATTAAGGATTGTAATCAAGTCTAAAACTCTAGCACAAGCGTCATTTGGAAACAGTATAGATGGGAGGTATTTTCAAGGAAAAGCTGAGGGTCAGGTACAGGGGCTCATGCCTGTAACCCCAGCACTTTGGGAGGCTGAGGAGGGTGGATCACCTGAGGTCAGGAGTTTGAGACTAACCTGGCCAACATGGTAAAACCCCATCTCTACTCAAAATGCAAAAATTAGCTGGGCATGGTGGCACACGCCTATAATCCCAGCTACTCAGGAGGCTGAGGAAGGAGAATTGCTTGAACCCAGGAGGCAGAGGTTGCAGTGAGCCAAGATCAGGCCACTGCACTCCTGCAATGCATAAACAGCTGATAAGATTTAATGGCTGAATGATGAAACACGATAAAGGAGTGGCAGGGTTTTAGAAATAGATAACTGAGAGGCTAGTTTCATTTAACAAAAGACAGGGAAGCCAGACTGCGAAAAGATTTTAAGGAAAAGAGTAAACAAAAGGAAAGCTAAAGGAGGAAATAATGGGTACATATTAAAT